GACCCTTCTGTAGCATTATTTACATAAGCTATTTCCAGGTCATTATCTATTCTGTTTATCTCTTTCTTTCCTTCTAAATTTATTTCCATATAGAACTTGGCACTTACACTATCTCTAAGCCACTTCTCCTCATAGTACGACCAAATCATCTCAACCTATTTTCCATGATTTTGTATATACAATTGGTATCACTTCTTCACTACCCTTGTGCATAATTACATAATTATCATTTAAATAAATTGTCAATAAAATAAAATAAAATAGGTGTTTGTCGGTGTGTCGGACTTGTATACAGATCATAAGAAATTCTAAGTATACTGTATTCAGAATGAGATTGGTTGGAACCAGGTGGCGATCAGTTTTCGTTCACGACCGTCACACAATAACACTCGTTTTTCACCCACACCGAGTCAGCCATCTACGTATGTTCATTGTTCCTGCTGTGTAGGTAATATTGCGACGCGAATACACACAACTCGGCCGACTGGTGTCTGAATCTGAATACACCTAGATACCTATATACAATATTACATATTATCAGATAATAGATTCTATGTGTTTAGTGTTTTTAATACGTAGGTATGTTACTATTATTTTACATACAAGGAAATGTTAGATGCGACTGATGCGAGATAAATTTAAGAAACAAAATAATATAAAATTGCATATAATTGCGCTCACCCAAATATAATTTGCTATCTGGKGAAAAAATGCATTGTATATTTAAATGCCAAAACTCTACCTACTAACTTTGATACATTATACATCCTAAAATCTTATAAACAAACATTATAAGCCAATTGTTCACAAGTTGTATACAAGTGTACAATAAYWATAATTGGTCGAACTGCTTTCAGGTCTGAACCACATGAATCRGAACTGTTCAAAAGCATTGCCGATAATAACCCCGAAGACTTATTAAAATCGTCCGACTCGGATCTGGACGAGCCGTTGGACTATAAAGAGAATTCCTATTTTCCAGTCCGTGTTGGATCCGTCATCAACGACCGTTATCACATAATAAAGAAACTGGGTTGGGGTCATTTCTCAACCGTTTGGCTCTCTTGGGACGATGTGTGAGTATAATGATAATAAATAATATTATATCGCATTTTATTCCACAAATAACACGTACAACCACCTTAGCTCCAAATGTGTATTATACAACGATATAATACGTGTTAAAGCCAAAACATTCACCTACTGCATAAACATACAAATAGTCGAAATATAGGGGGGACTTTTAGGACTTTATGGATYAGGCTCCCTAAAATATATTTCAGAATGAAATGAGAGTATAATATACAAATTAAAATAGTTGAAGATATTACTATAGTATAATAAAAAAAATTAAACATATTTTATGTGATGAATACGATATACTCGTATTGTCTACCAATTAAAATATTATTCTTACAAACTTTAAAAAACACGATGACTAGATACAAATTACTAAAAATTATATTACTTTAATAAATAAGCGATATTAAAAAAAGTTTTAGAAACTGAATTAAGAGTAATTTGTACATATGTTATTCGTTAAAGTTTCTAATGTTACATTGATCCAAATGAATTTATGCTTTTAAAATACTAGAATAAGGCTTGGTGCTTTGCCCTTTGCTTTAAATGATTTTACATTCCAATGTTCATAACCTGCAGGGTCGGGAACTGGTTTTATTGTTTAACAGTTATTTTTGCTTATTTCTGTGTTGTTTTTTTAGTTTTTAATGATAATTTCTAATAATATTATTATTATTAATATYATAAGTATTGATGTTTTATTTTTTAAGTTTCTACTTTGACACAGACGGTAACCATTAAAAACCGCGGTTTTTTTTCAAAATTTTTCTCCAATTTGTGTTCATGATACAATTTTTCCGAAGAGAGAAGAATTTTTTTTTGAATTCTTGTTGATAAATTTATTTTTCTATGATATCGTATATCGGACTAAGCTCATCCGCTAGAAAATTTAAAATGCTTTGTCACTGTGATGCTTGATGCCTATTTATAGTTAAGTTGTTATACATGTTGGACAATTTTAGCGATAAACAATTTTACAATTTACTTACTGATGACAGTGTCTAGGTATATATAGACTTCAAAATGTGTGGTTATATGTGACAGGAATACATGGACTTAAAATAGGTAGCTAAAAAGTAGGTATCTAACCTGCAGTATAGGTAACCCGTCGGGGCAGTTAAAATACCTATTTTTGTTGTTAGTAATTATTATATCATTGTCTGCTTTGATAGTACTTTGTAATCTTCAATAATATATTAAACTAGACGGTTTACTGACGAATGACGATATTGCTGCAGTACACACTAATGAACTATGTGCTGCAATAATAAACAAGTTACATAAAGTATATTATGTAAAGTTGTTTGTCAGAATTTTTAAACAGTCGTAGTAGTTTATAATAAACATAAAACTGCGGGATATATTATTTTCATCGTATTCAGGATTTTAAAAAATACCATCATTCATTCAGTGCACAATTTCCGATCATGTCGGAAAAACTACGTTCTTACATTCAAATAGGAAATCTGTAATTCACTAACTTACTATATGTACCTTCATAACATTAAATGTATATGTGATGAGAGCAAGATTGACAAAACGAAATATTATAACTTAGTATTTCAGTTGGTTCAAAACCTAATGCGACACTCAAATTTCAAATGGTCTTGATAATTCGGATGAGATTGTTAGAATATATTATAAAGGGATTTGCATACTTCTGTTAATTGTTTTAATGTTTATTTATTTAAATTACTGTAATAATAATGTTTTCATATTTCAGACGTTTGAATATTTTATCAAAAAATTGTATGGCATAATATTTTTTTGCATTAGTGCGGGTTACTGTCATTCAGATTATTCATTTACACAACACTTATTTATTTATGTTTTTTTTTTTTTTTTTTAATAGAAAATAATTAATTATGTATTTATGAACCAGCTGAAAATACAATTATGAAAAAATGTTCGTTATTTTTTTTAAATTTCATAAAATATTAAAATATTGTAGTTTTTAATGTATTATAATTTATCTTTCACCTATATACTTAAAAGTTAAAAATAACGCACTAACATTTTCTTTCAAATACAGAAAGTTACCTAAGTTTAATTTCATTAGAACTGCTCTCGGACATTTGGTACGGAGAGTTGTTGTGTTTTATTAACGTTACTAAACAGTCACAAAACGTCTCATGTAGTC